AGTGGTAGTGGTTGATACTTTCAGGTATTTACAAAGCTGCCACAAACATATCACCTTGCCATGGAAGAGTTTTTATTATTTCTCCAAAGAATTAACATAAACTCAAAAGACTGACTTGTGCAGGGTCCCTGGAAGGCTAAATGGGCTCTGATGGCTTCTGGGCAGGACTCGGTTATGGGCCTTGGGGGACCCTCTCCTCAGATTGCCCCAGACATCATATTCCTAAAACAGGGAGCAGAACCTGTTCACCAATCAAAGATGACTACAAAGGCTTGGAGGACATGGCTAAAAATGCAACAAAATTACTTCAGCTAGAGAGTATCCTGAAGTTTCCGAGTCACCACAGAACTCAGAACAAAGGGAAATGACCAGGGTAGAACATGTTTAAAACACACGCACAAAATAACTCTGGATTGTGATAGAATATTCCCTAAGGAGAAAGAAAGTAGATTGTGACCAAGCTTAATCATGCATCCCTTCCTCTAATTTTCTGTAGTGGAAGTTGAAAGCCAAGAACTGTTGTTGAACTTGCATCCCATGAATTCAGAGACGAGCCAAACCCTCCCGGACGCACTCCTGCCCTAACCCAGACAGCTCTCTGGGGAGCAGGGCCAAGCCTCTGCCGCCTGGAGTGCCTCTGTGTAGAGATTGGTGCTTTAATCTCCTCTCTAGTCTTTGTTGGCCATGGAAGCACCATCCATTGTTGCTCTGTCTCGTATGTTTGTACTCTGTTATTGCTGCTGTGCATTTTACATGCCATGTTTCCATTCAGATATATTTCACTGGAGATGATTAAACATCATCCATACAAAGAACTGTCTTTACAGATATCCCAAAGTCATCCATTTCAGGTTTTGAGTCATGTCCATTCCCAAGGAAACTTTCAAAATGCTTTATTCATTCATATTTCTCCACGAGTTTCCCTTGACTTCCTGTTCTGTGTTAGCAGAGAAAGTGTGAGGGTTATGACTTGCCCTGACGCTAAAGAGCCCCCTGCCCCCCCAAAACCCAAAGAGCATTGTCCAGCATTTTGTCCATTTTTAATGCATTGTGGGGTGGGGTCATCGAGAATTATCACACAATTTATCCTGTTGGTTGACTCTGCTTAGATACTGGGAAATATGGAACGCCCTCCCATTGACAGCCCTCCCTTCTTCCCTGTGCCTCTAGAGACCAGGCAGAAACGAGCAATTCTCTGGGAGAATTGTCAGGTGTGTGTTTGTGCCTTGGTTTGGTTTTAGCTTTCTCTCCATCCTCTAAATATTTCCTTTAAAAAAAGTACTTAACTTCCTTTGTAAGAAACTCAGTTTCACACACAAAAAAGAAAAGACAAAAAAAAGAAAAGAAGAAACTCAGTTTCCCCGACCTTCTCGTTTCCTCTGTGTTCCTAATGGTCCTTGAAATGAAAATACTTGGTTGAGTTTCCTGACTTGTACTTGTCAGCCTACACAATGGCTCTTTTTTTAAAAATATATTTTATTGATTTTTTACAGAGAGGAAGGGAGAGAGATAGAGAGTTAGAAACATCGATCAGCTGCCTCCTGCACATCTCCTACTGGGGATGTGCCCACAACCCAGGTACATGCCCTTGACCGGAATCGAACCTGGGACCTTTCAGTCCGCAGGCCGACGCTCTATCCACTGAGCCAAACCGGTTTCGGCCACAATGGCTCTTAAGAGAATACCTGGTGACCTGTGGCACTCTCTGTTGAGAGAAAATGCACATTTTGCATTCTGGCATCTAAACATAGGGGTAAATTTAAAACCAAAGACATACATGGTTAGGTAATCATCTCCAGTATGGTATCAACATTCCTTCAAAGCAAAACCTCAGTCTCTTATCTTCCATCACCTTGCTGTCATGGGTAAGTTTGCCTTTAGGAATGCAATACTGCATTGTTAAAGGCTTACCTAAAGTCAAATGTTTCTTCTTGAAGACCTTCCACTTTGCGAGATCATTGCTCAGAAGACCCTAATGCTCTAAATAATGACATTTTTTGGGCTTCAAATTCTAGGTTTAAATTTTTAAATTTTCTCCTTAAATAGTGAGCATGGTTGTGATTTATTCTTTACTACTGTTTAAGTTTTATTTCCTTCGTGGTAGTTCTGTGAAAATAGTATATGGTTATATTCACTTCATCTGGCACTTACGGACCAGAATCTTCCAAATGGTTCTTTGCATATCATAATCAGACATATTGTTATCAAAGTCTCATAGCTAAAACTCCCTTCTTGTCATATGTGTATGACTTATTTTTTGATTTCTCAGTTTAGTGCTTCCTGGTTTGGGGTTGCTGTAGTTATTACAGTTATTGAGTAACTGTTCTTTGAGTATAACTTTTCTTGGCAGAAATCAGCCCAGATTTCTTCCTTTGACATAGCTTTGATTTGTGTCTTAGTAACTTTTGTATTTCTAAAATAGTTCAAATAGTCCATTAATTCTACCAAACAACCAATCATCTGATTGAAAAAAATATCTGTCAAACTAGTTATTTAAACCATTAGAGTTGGATTACATTACTGTATACTATGCAATTAAATTAGGATTATATTACATTGTATACTGTGGATTCCAGGCATATCATATGTCAATCAAATTCTTGTCTCTAGGTTTGATGGATTACCTTATGTATAGTGACCTAAGTCATGTGTTTGAAATGTGGCTTGGATCTATAGAAAAAACAGATGCTATTCCAGTAATATACCTACAAATGTCCAACTTAATATCTGTGATAATGATATAGTATGGAGTTGAAGGGCACTGGGTGGGAAGTAGAAAAGCTGAGATCTGTCCCAGCTCTGTTACAAAATGTCTTCTCTAACACATCTAGGCTTAAGTTTCCTCATCTGTACAATGAAGGGATTGGACTATAGTTTCTGAGGCCTCTTCTAGCTCTGAAAAGTTAACATCTACCAGCAAAGGGAGATGGGTTGTCCCTTCTTGACTTTGGAAAATGGTGTAGAACATTAAAGGACACTTCTTCAGATTTCTATGCCTCTTCTTATCTTTGGTTTTAGGATATAATTGTATTCAATCTTCTGGCAGAAAATACTTTTTCATGAAATGAACTACCTCTTGCCATGAAACAGGATAAATGAGTAATTGGTGTAATGATACTAACTCATTTAGGTTGCTTTGTTATTCATTATTTTATTCAATCATTAGCTCATAAGACCTCTAGGGGCCTTTGTCCCACGCACACCTAACAGTCCCTCCAGGTTCTGGTTCCAGAGAGAGCGAGTGTGATCTTCCCCCTGTGACGGAGGTAATCCCTGTGGCCCACGAGGGAGGGGCTGGCCTTGGAACCATTTGCCTGTCAAGTGTACACATCTGGGCAAGTCTCCTTGGCTGAGCAAACATATTGCTCTCCATTTTTCATTCATATCAGTGAAAAGTGAGAGGCCCTCTAATCTACACTAATAAGAGAGAAACATGGTAATTGGCGTACGACCGCTACCCTACCCATTGGCTAATCAGCATATCCTTATGCAAATTAACTGTCAGCCAAGATGGCGGCCAGCAGCCAGGCAGCTGGAAGCGAACATGAGGCTTCCTTGCTTCAGTGACTGCAGACTCCAACGTTGCCAGCCTCTGAGTTGCAACTCTAAGCAACAATGTACTATGTTGCAAATAAGAAGCTAAACAAAACCC